ATTTTGAATGATTTTGATTAAAGTTTTGAAACATAGCTTTTGTGTACAGTTTCTTGAAGTTGGAAATGACCTGCTGGTCCATGTGCTGCAGGAGAGGAGTGGTATTAGGAAGCAAAAACTTGACCTTAATGAAGCTCATGTCCCCAAAAAGGGTCCCCTCTGCCAAGTCTGTAGGATGACCAGGGCATTGTCTAATACCAGGAGGCATTTAAAGGTCTGATTTCTTTTAAATTAGGTAATTTTCACATTGGGGGGCAAATGCATAGTGTAACCAGTCATAGAAAAAGTCCCTAGTGACCCATGCTTACTTTTGCCCTCCACAGCACACACAAATTAGCCTTGAGGACATTGTTTTGCCTGAACGCTCTGGGGTTGAGTGATGCACCAATAAAACTTCACTTTGCAATCACCACTAGCATTGGGCACACATCAGAAGAGTAAGCCTGTCTTTTATAGGCTTATGCCCTGGAGTGCCTTTTCCTCCTGGGTAATGTAGGTCCTGCTTGGCAATTTCTTCCAAAACAGGCCTGTTTTGTCACAATTAAACACTTGTTCAGGTTTAAATTCTTCACTCTATGTAATCCTTGAATTCCTTCACATATTTTTCAGCTGCTTTTTGGTCCGAACTGGCAGCCTCACCATGCCTAATCACACTATGTATCCCGCTACGATTCTTAAACTTTCAACCAACCTTTGCTGGCCTTAAATTCACTCACATTACCATTTGTTGCGGGCATTTTTTCAATTAAATCCTCGTGCAACTTCCTACCTTTTCACATATGATCATTGAGAGATGCTATCTCTTGCTATCTGTTTTTCATTTTTTCCACACCAATAACACTCTCTCAACATCTTATAACACTTGGCCGATCTCTTTAGAAAACAGACATGAAACCCTTTTGCAAGAACAGCTTCCTTTTTTTGCTGTTTCTTGGCCACTATAGTAGCGATGGTTGATTGGGGTTTGGTATACAACCTGGCCAGCTCCGACACACACACTTCACTTTTGTATTTTGCAAAATTTTCTCTTTCTTCATTTCATAGTAATTAGCACCCTTTTTTCCCGCAGGGTTGGCACTAGAAGCTTTCTTGGGGCCCATTTGGGGACTTATTTTTAAGAAACAAGCATCAAAAACACTGTGATAATATGGAATGTACTGAATTTTAGCTTTGGATTGTGAGCACACTGGTGGCTTGTAAACACTGGCACGCACGGGCAGTTCAGGCCACATGTGGATACGTCCCGGACGAATCGCGTGTGGCAGGTTTTTTAACGTGTGGCGAGGCAAAATTTTTGCGTTAAAATGTATCGTTATGCCAGATTTAACGTTGTTGGTGCCATGTATGCCGGGGGTCCCCTGTTTCGTATTTGGGTTTTTGATTGAAGAAAAGTAATAAACAATTTGATATTGCATTTAAAAATTGAATTCCTTTTCCCCTTAAATACAATACTACTGTAATTGAGGAGGTTTTATAAAGTTGATTATCGGACCTACTTTATTTTGTTTCTGGAGGTAATGACAATTTGTATGAATGTGCAAAGATTATGACAAGTTTTTGCTACTTTGTATGGTTAAAGCAAGTGAAGTTATCTCCGAATCCACAGGTCAAAAAAGCGAAGTTAGAATCTGCCTCATCAAAGAATATAAGCCAGAAGGCATCCAAAAAAAAACCAACGATTTGGCGGAAACCTGCAACTTCAGTGCCGTTTACTCACCCAGAATTATTAGCATCTTTGAAAGGACACTCAGGATCTCTCACAAGTGGTGGCTTCTCTTCAAATGGCAAGCATTTTATTTCAGCAGCTGATGGTAAGTTAATTAAACTTTGCAGCATAATATGTTTACATTTCCTTAAAATCTAGTTAGTCATCCACTGACAAATGATCCCTTCATTACAAGTGTTTTATGTAGCTTGTGCTTCAGTTTTGATTAATCTGCTATCTAGTTTGCTTTCATGACCTTCATGACCCCTGCATTCTATATAATCAGTTGTTAGTAAAGCTAATATTGTCTATCAGTATCATAACCAGTTAGGGTGACCATGTCTAAGTTCATCTGAGATTTTAGCATCTGCAATATTAGTATCAAAAGTATTCATTGCTGATGCAGTTTGGTGTTGTTACTCGTCTATACAGTGTAATAGTTAAACCCCACCTGCTTGTAATATTGCACCACCTGTCGCTAGGTGGCACAAATGGGGAGCAACGCTGTCTGGGCTTCACAAAACTGGGCACCAGATGAAAGAAACAGTGGAGAATGTTGGTGTGTGTGTGTGTGTGCGCGAGCGTTCAGTGAGGAACTTGGTGCAGCGTTTCAAGGCTGGTTGCGGTGTTGAGTTACTGTCTGCTAAATCTCAACCTGGCCCCTCGAAGAAGACATCTGTTCATACCTTAACTGTGTTAAAGAAGCAGTTAGAGAGTACACCTAAGATAACTGCTAGAGAATTGAAAGAAAAGAACCCACATCTTCTCTCAGAGGTGTATGTAAGAACTGTTAACAGACATGTCAGAACTGGGCTACAGTAGTCACTGCCAGGTTAAGAAATCAATCCTCTCCAAGCCACAGAAGAAATGTAGGCTGGATTATGCAAAGAAATATCTTCACTGGAATCCTCAACAGTGGTCTGAAGTACTTTGGAGTGATGAAGCAACCTTCACCGTCACCTGTAACCATGGGGGACGTGTACCGGCCCAGAGGTGGTGACCCGCTAGACCCACGCTACACCTGGGTATTTGGTGTGGGACCACCAAATACCCAGACTCACTCATGGTTTGGGGTGTTTTCAGTGCTCAGAGTGTTGAACTCATTGTGCTTTCCAAAAACCAGTTATATGAACCAGTATAATTGCCTGGAGTTATTGTGTGACAATTTACCTGAAGCGTTTGACAAGTGTGGTGCTAGGGTTTTTATGTAGGGTGGTGCACCGTGTCATACCACCAAATCTGTAGTTCAGTGGCTTAAGGACTGTGAAGTGGGGTTTTCTTTAATGGCTGGCCAGGCAATTCCCCAGACCTAAACCCTACTGAAAAACCTCTGGTCAATAGTGAAACGATGTTTGCTGGGCAAGGATATCCGTTCCGTCCCATGGCTTGAGGCTGCTCTGCATGAGGCGTGGGATAATAATCCTCCCCAAACCCTCAAGGATTTGTGAGATTTTCTTTCATGGCTGAGGGACGTGATTAAACGTAAAGGATGCAGCACCAAGTATTAGAACCTCAGTAAGTATGCAAATATATAAAGTACAGTGATATCCCAAGTTTTGGCCATAATTCGTTCCAGAAGGCTGTTTGAGTGCCATTACTGAAACAATTTGTTCCCATAAGGAATAATGTAAATTAGTCTGTTTTTAAAACCCCCAAAAAAAAACTTAAAAAAGCACTTACATAGTTGTTCGAGTTGGGAGCTGTACAAAACTCAAGGTACCACTAAAATCTTTCATGGTACGTATGTGTTTGTGTTTTGCTATGTGTGTGGGGGAGGGATGGCATAATGCTGTGGCTAGCACTGTACAGGAGGGCCCCATTTGTACGGCTCTTAGGTTCCAAATCCCATAGCAAGAATTGCTAGCAGGTGGAAAAGAGCAGTTTTTTTTTATTGTTGAATGCATCTTAAATGCCTGATAACACGTTTACACTATCGTATATTAAGTGCTCAATACAGCTAGGCATAAAAAAACGAAAGTAAAGTACATACAGTACTTACCTGAAAATATGGTGTCAGTTGCCCTTCCCTTATGCAACTGTTGTACAAAAATGACAAAGCCGGTAAGGAGGAAAAAGTTACCAGCAGTGAACTGGAGAGTGGCAGCCGCTTTAAGTGGCAAGTGGTTCACAATTCAGGGAGAAGGAAGATGAGGAAGGTTAATAGAGAATATGTGAAGGTAGGAAATCGATTCTCTATTCTCCAGAATGAGTATACTTCAGTGGTTAGTTAGGTTAAAGGTACCACTGACTACCCTGCTAATCAAGGTAAGAATATTCTGATTGTGGGAGACATGGATAAGATATATAGATCGTGCTTTTTGTAACAGATTGGAAGGTCAGTGTGTGCGCCTCCCAGGAGCTGGTGTTGGTGACATAGTAAGTTGGATAATATGATGTCAGGTAATGGGAACAAGCCCATTATCTCTCAGTGTTGGTGGAAATGACATTGGGGAGGGCAGGAGACAGAGCTGCTGGATAAGTACAGGTCAGCCATAGATGTAGTCAGGTCTAAGGGAGGGATCCCAGTCATATGTAGCATCTTGCCTAGAAAGGAAGTGGGCAATGAATGGATGTTTAGGACAATTGGTATATATTGCTGGCAAGACAGGTACTGCAAGGAACTTGCAATCTCATTCACTGATAACTGGGACAAATTCTATGGCAGATGTGATATGTATGCAAAGGATGGGGTTCATCTCTCTGGGGCTGGAGTGGTTGCATTAGCCAATTTGATTGAGAGTCATTGATGACTTGTGACTCAGTCTGGCTCTGTGTCTGGGTGAGCGAGCAACACTGCACATTCATCCAGACATTTCGTTATAATCCATTGCTTTTTGTGGTTGTTTGAGTGTGATTGCGAAATAAGCCACCATGAGCCCAAAGAAAGTTCCTAGTGCCAGCCCTTTGGCAAAGAAAGTGAGAAACACAATAGAATTCAGTGACAAAACCTTGTTTCACTTCAGGCAAATTTTAGAGATGCCAGAAACAGGCATCTCTCAACAGTTTTTCTGTGTGACGGGTGTAGTGACTCTCAAGCTGGTCCTAGTGCCAATAAAAGACAAAGAAGGGAAGTAACCCCAAATAGGGACTTGATACCTGAAGTCCTTATGGAGGGGGATTCCCCTTCCCATCAATAACCCCAGCTCCCTCTCCCGACCTCGCCTTCTTCAATTCGCCAACAAATCTTCAGTAAAGGTATGTAATGTTCATTTATCATTAAAATTTGTGCTTTGTATTTATTTTGTTTTCTGTATGTAAAACTATAATTAACCTTTAAAAAATGTATTTGTTAATATTTTTGGGTGTCTGGAACAGATTAATTGTATTTACATTAATTCTTATGGGAAATATTACTTCATTTTTCGGCCTTTTCGGATTTAGGCTGACTTTCTGGAATGGATTATGACCGAAATCTGGGGTTCCACTGTGTAGATGATATTGCTATTAAGAGAGACCTGGTTCAATTTGAAAGATAGAGAAATGCCTTCCAAATGCACCATACAGGGCTTCAAACTATTTCACACTGATTCAACAGGAAGGGTGGTGGAATGGCAATGTATGTCAGAGATAATTTAAATTGTGTTAGAAAAGATATAAGATTAGAAACATCAGACACAGAATCTGTTTGGTTACAGTTTCTCGAGGGTTGTGAAAAATTAATTTTGGGTGATTTATAGACCCCCCAAACCTTGATAGGGAGTGCAGTAAGATGCTATGGGACAAAATTCATATGGCATCTAAATATAAAAATGTTGTGGTAATGAGAGATTTTAACTTTAGACAAATTGATTGGTACAGTGTGACAGAAAATCTTGAGTCTAGTGACTTTCTTGATACGGTTCAGGATTGCTTTATAAAACAGTTTGTGACAGACCCAACTAAAGGAAACAACCTGGTTGACTTGGTTCTTGCCAACGAACAGTCACTAATTAATAATCTTGAGATTAATGGTGAGCTTGGGGAAAGTGATCACAAATCACTTAGTGTCATTATATCATGGAATTACCCAGATAACTGCAATCAAGTCTCTATCCCAGACTTCCGCTTGGCTGACTTCATGGGACTGAGAAATTACCTGGGTGGGCTAAATTGGGATGACCTGACTGGGTCAGGTGGGTGGTATTGGTTACCAATATGATGTATTTCAGAGCATAGTTCTAGCTGCCCAGACAACTTTTGTTCAGAGTAGGGAAATTAGATCTGACAAAAATGATCCCAAATGGATAAACAATAGTTTAAAACATCTCATTGGTGAAGAGAGAGGCATGTATGTGTGTATCAAGAGGGGATGGGCAGTTAAGAAATCAATGTATATAATTAAAGAGAAAAAAAATAAAAGCAAAAAGGGATTATGAGTCTAAAGTTGCAAGGGATTTGAAGACTAAATCAAAAGGGTTCTTTCAGGTATACAGAAGTAAGATTAGGGACAAGATAGGTGGAGTTTCCTTAGTCTGTAGAGAAGGTTCTGTCTTTTATTGATAATACACCCATTAACATACACCTCTCCATTCAAACTTATGGCTAAGTGAATTAGGTAATTACTTTTCTAACAAGAGTGGACTTTTAACATTCCTGTTCTTTTCCCATTCAGTTTACTTATCAATCGTGGTTCTTCGATTTTGCCGTTCTTTATATTTACATGACTTTTTTTAACGAGTTGAAGTATGGTCTGAAGCAAGGAATCTGAGAAATAGTCTGGGGAAAAGAGTACTGCTATTAACAACAGCATTAGAAAGTTGTTGTTCAATTTGATCTTTGTGGTTTTGGAGGAAGTTGGTGAACTGTACATCAATGCATGATTTCCCTTTGTTGATACTGTCATTAATCTTAGTGTCAAGTGATATTTATTCACCAAGTCTGCTGATTGTTGCTTGCACTTGTGTGAATGTCATTGGCTTGTTCTAAATTAAAAAGTTTGAGCTTGAGGTAATTAATCTTCCTAATGTGGGAGGCTTTAGCAGTTTTAAACTTGGTGTAGGAATCTTGGAGGGTTAGTAGAATTTGGGTTAAGTTTTTGTTATTTTACCTTGAGCTCTGAAGACTTTAGCAATTCTTAAGTACTCCTTAAGGATTGTATCAAATAGAACTCATAGTAATAAACAAACT